GAATTTAGTTTAACTTTTGTAAAAAAAATATTTCTAAAATAAATAAAATATAAAAAGTATTTTTTTTCAAAAGCTCATCCAAACAATAATATAAAAAGAACACACATGGATTTCAGCCAACAGAACCAGATTGTGGTGGACTGCTGCTTGGCTAGGCGTTTCACTTTATGAAACAATGGGTCACAGACCATTGTCCATTGTCAATTTGTCATCTATCTTTCTTAACACAGGCCAACATTCACCCTCTCTTTTTAATTGAACTATGTGAATGCACTCTAATACCGTTCCAAATTGTTGGGGAGTAATGCAAAAAACTGTATATGCTTGCTGGGATTCAGATTCCAGACGTGCTTCTAATTTTCACAATATAAATGTTTGTGACTCGTGAGTCATACTACAAAAGTAGTAATAATGTAATGTCGTCCAAAAACTTGTATTGGAATTAAATCAATTAATGAACTCCGATAACTGAGTTAATTATCATAATGCATAACGTCGTCCAAATGTAAAAGCTACTTACTTTTTTCATCATTTAATAATAAAAAATCATTTAAAATATCGCTTTTCAAAACTGAAAAAATTACTAAAAGAAAAATATTTTAAAGGAAAAAGTTATATTTACAATTTTTTTTCGTTTACAAATTCTTACAACTAAATTTTAATCATTGATTTCTATCTATACGATGAATATAATTTAGTGGGTCACACTTTTTCCTAATAAATTTCAAACACATTTTTGCTTAATATTTTTATTACGTTATAAAAATCATAGTAAGTAGCCCGGGCAAATCCCATCGACGTTAACTCAGTCTAATAAGAAGGCGTCGCCATAAAATGCGGAGAGTTTATGAGGACAGAGTCCAATCCCAAAAGAGAAGAAAACGTCATTGGGGACTTCAGTTTTAACATTTAAATTTTAAAAAATGATATAATTACCACATAATTTTATCTTTATTCTTTAAACTCTTAATTTTAACTTTAGTTTTTTAAAATAGTTTTAAGTTAAAAAAAAAAATAAAAAAAATGGGTCAAATATGTCTTAAAATCATACCATTTTATCGTGTTGTTTGGCTGGGCTATGAGGATGATGGTGTAGTTTCAAGTCTGTTTTATAAACAATCTAGGTAACTACCTCAGGGTTAAGGCGTTAGAGGACTCCCTTAGGCAATCAAAATACTAATTGTAAATGGAGAACAATGAAAATCTGAATTGAGAACAACAAACTGGGACAAGCATGTTGTAAAATCCACATAATACATGAACCAAACAAGACTTCAAAGGGGAATAAGAAAGGAACTTAGCATTGTATTTTACAAATGAATGAAGGTGTCTCTATCCAGAATCCCTCAACAATTTTGTCAAAGAAACCTCCAAGCTGAGATTGAATGCATTGGGGTACCTTTCCATCCAACTATGAGACACTTCCCATTCCCCTCTATAGTGCATAATTTCCCAAAAGCAAACTCTTTGGCAACCAAATCAGCTTGGTATAAACATGACTTGCTAAATCCAGTTTCCACCATTCGGTACCTTGCAAAGAACCTTCTCCAAACATCAATCTTCACACTTCTAACCGTCCTTTCCCTGCCTTCCATAGCAACAATGTTTCTTATCCCTGCAGAAAATATATTTTCGGTTGCCATTCTGCACCCATTCTCCTGTTTTATGCAGGTTTCAAGGCAATCAAAAAAAGCTGAGTAGAAGAACAATGCTTCAACGAAGCGATGCACAAAGGAGGGTGAATTATGGTTTGCTTCTACTTCAAGGACTATCATTATAGATGGTTTGATATTTCTAATAACCCCCATCAAGTTTTCCATACAATCAGGCCTAGATATCATGTTCCTCAGTAAATAGGGAGAGTAAACAGCTACAGCTTCATGCCTTCCAACTTCAAAATGATCTTCCTTGAGTTCTGCTATGTCTGTGACAAAAACTGCCTTAAATAAAAAGGGCAAGTTCAAGGATTCAGCAAAACTCGCTAACCTTTTACCAGTCTCTTCTATCTTGGTTTTGCATGTATAAAGTCCAATGGCAGTCATCTTCATAAGCTCCACTGCACAATCCTGGCGCTCAACCAGTGCTTGCATCAAAGCCGTGCAGTGCACCCCACTATTTATATCAAGATCTATCAGATGGATCTTCGTATCAGATGCAACATGTTCCACTATGGCTTGTATCCCAGTGAATTGCATTACCTGATTAAAAGGGATTTTTTTATGGTATGTAAGGGACGAGATGATATCCATATTCTGATATAATTCCCTTCCTTCATTTTTCACTAACCCCTTAATTGTCACCCTTCCTGTTTCTTTGTCTATTCTCGCTCGAAGTGCTTGAGCGAAATGAAAGATAACTCTTTGAGCAGGGTTTGCTGTGGCAGATGAATTCCTTTCACAAAGGAGAAGTAACTTGCTTGCACGTTCAAATTGCTGACACCCTACTCTCTCAGCTGCAGCAAGGAGAAGCTGAGCAAGTTCAACGTCTCTATTTTCTTCCTCAGACAAATCCCCAAGATCAAATCCATAAGGGTGCATAGGGATGGAAAAACTATCATTCCAATGGGCAGATAATTGTACATACCTTGTTCCAGCCGCTCTTATTATTTCTTCTGTTGAGTGATCCAATGGAGTTTCAATATTATTTATATTTTGCCCACTTAGCCTATTGAACCTGCTTCCGTAACTTCTTAGGAGCTCCAACGATGCTAAAGATGGTGGCACTTGTTTATTGTATTCAACAAGTTCTGAACTTGCCACTTTCTGATTCTTTAGCCCTCTAGTTTCCTGAAATGGTTGTGTTGGCTGCGGATCAAAGTCAAAGTTGACCTCTTCTAACATCAAGTTATCAACTCTGAGTTCTTCATGTTGTTGTTGCTGATTATGGTCTTTGAACAAATTGGCTCCTTTTCCACTACTCTCATTAGGGAGAGGATTAATCTCTCCCAACAATTCAATTCCAGAGAAACTGTAGTGTTTATCTTGGAACACATCTTGTATAGAACCATAACTCAACTCGATTCCATTGAAATTTAGTGCTGTGGAAGAAAAATGATCAATCTCCATGTCCAATGAAAACAGAAATCAAGATTAATTTCGGTGATTTACACTGAACACAATGTGCTTATATTATGTAGATAAACATCGAGGAGACTGTATGCATTATCATCATTCAATGTGGAAAATGAATATTTTAATATATAAATGCTTGAAGAAACTTAATATCTCGAAATTTATAAATGTAACAAGGAACATGGAACTTTGATGGTGATGTTTTCGATGTTTTCATTGCAGTCATCAGCCAGCAATCAAAAATTAAAAGGCCCAATAATTTGATTAAACAAAGACGATAGCTTGTTAAGGTTTGCCATAACCACTACAGGTTAGTATTTAATTATCTATAAATTTGTCGTTGGGAAAACAATGGTAGAGATACACAAAGGCATGAAGTGACATATGTAGTATTATATCTAAGAGGTTTTCATGAAAAGTTCAGCCCAGGATTGAGGGATTGGCTCCTTCCAACAACAACAAACTGTCTTTGTCTGTAAAAAATTTATATAATACATGATCTTATCAGTTTATCTGCAAATAGATTCGAGGAATATGCCATGACAACTAATAATATACTAAATAAATAAAATAAAATTACTACTCTTAGCAAAAGTATTTTAAAATAAATAAATAAGAGTGAGTTATGGAATTCGGGTGAAATGTACAGTTTCTTCGTTTTAAAGTAATTAAAATTTAACATTTTTCACAACAATTAAGAAAGTTATTAAATACACTTAATTTTCTTTAAAAAAAATAATTAATGCATTATTAATTTTTCAAAATAACAAACAATTTAAAATAAATGTAAATTTTAAATTAAAAATTGTTAATTGGCCAAGTCTACGTCAGTGTTTAAATATGTGAGTTTGACCAAGCCTGTTACGAATATAATTATTGACTTATAGCCTGACTTATTTACAAAAAATAAAAGTCTGGTTTAGTCTGTTTAAAAAAAATAAGACAAATTTTTTTTTATCCAAACAGAATATATAATGAACAACACTAATAATTTCATAAATATTCATAAATTCAATGTATAGCACAAAACTACATGATTTGATTTTCGTCTCATATGAGGAATTTTCGTTGCACATGTGAACACTATCATATGATTTGATTTCTGTGGATGTAATGTTATAAAAAAATATATCATAAAACTAAGGGTTTCCTTTTTGTCATTTGACATGACAAGAGCACTTTCCTACACACACAAATCAAGTGTGGGTCCCACGCTTAAAAAAAAAAAGTCAGACCAAAATCATGATACGACGCCGTATCCTTATTGCAAGAATGGACAGTGTCATTCCTGCAACATGATTCTTATATTTCCCTAAAACTAATTATAATTAGTGTAGCATAAGTATACGCCCTGGAATGGAAGCTAGAGTATCAAATGAGTTTATGACGAAGGCCTTAAAAAAGAACACACATGGACTTCAGCCAACAGAAACCAGATTGTGGTAGACTGCTGCTTGGCTAGCGCTTGACTTTATGCAAACAATGGGCCACGGACCATTGTCCATTGTCATCTGTCTTTCTTAACATAGGCCAACATTTACACTCTCTTTTTATTTGACTACGTGAATGCACTCTCCAGTAGCGTTCCAAATTGTTGGGTTGGGGAGTAATGCAAAAAAACTGTATTAGCTTGCTGGGATTCAGATTCCAGAAGTGCTACTAATTTTCTTAATATAAATGTGTACATTATTATGTTGCCTTTTTGTGACTCGTGAGTCATACTACAATATTTATAATAATAATAATGTAATGTCATCCAAAAACACGTATTGGAATTAAATCAATTAATGAACTCTTATCATAATGCATACATTTGTTGTCAACATAAATACACAAAAAAAGGTATAGATGCAATATTTGAATGTCTCTGACCAGACAAGAGAATGAAAAATAAAAATAAATTACAACTACAGGATTTATCAAATTTAATTACACCTTGTCATCGTTGTCACTAGGTTCCACGGTGGAAATCCCTGTTGTCCTTCTTCTACAGAGACAAATCAAGAACATCCACATAAGACACTTTACAACCCTCACCATCCCAATTGTGACAGTCACATAATACAACCACCATCCAACGAAATCACCCATTCCAACATCCATCAATTGCTCTTTCTTTGCCTCAGCCATAATCACCAAATTCTCCACATCCTCCCTTAACCTCCACCACCATAAGCTCCCTAAGCTCGCAGCCATTGCCACCCTTTCAACCCATCTTTCTTTTCTTGCAACCCCAAACACCGTGTCATCCACCACGGGCCTTACCGCAATCAGAGACCAAACTTGCGTTGTCTCGTGCAACCCCAAGAAGAAAATTGTTCTGCTCAAGAGGCTCCTCTCAACGCCAAAGCTCGAGTCAGAGTCATAAACTCCCGCAGCAATGCTTCCCTCAATTCCCAAACCAACACAAACTTGGAAAGTACAAAGTAGAAGCCACGCAGTGTAGAGACGAGGTTGAAGAACAGTGCTTGATGACTCGCTGAAAAGGGTGATTTTTCCTGTTAAGCCATGGATTAAGGAAGCTACGGTTACAATGGACACAAGAACGTAGAGAACACAGGGGTTGATGTGCAGGGCAAGAGATAACACATAGGGAAAGGGTTGTGATGAATGGTTCAAAGTGAGGCTTTGAAGATAGTATTGGGCACCAGAGAGTCTAGCTAGGAGAAGAAACGAGAGGGGTAAGAGGAGGCTGAGAAGTGTGTTGGTGAAGAGGTAGAATAACTCTTTTGGAGTTGAAGCTGCAGAATTGAAGAGTTCTATGGCTTTCTGCTTCCAATCCATTTGTATTGAAGCAACCATATATGAGACTCTCTGCAACAAATTAAATACTCTCTTTATTTACAAGCCACGGGAAGTTCAACATTAAGGTCTCTCTCTATGTATGTGACTTAACAACTAGTTGCTGGAAAAGGAATATAAATGTGGTTGCCACGTCCACTGTTTATTTAGTTGACATTTTACGGGACATGGTCTTGAATATTGATAATAATATATAACCCTAATAAATATGTACATGGATCATTTAATTATATCAACTTCATCCTTCTTTTTATCTTTTCCGCGTTGGTTTGGTACAAAGGAAAGGAAGGGATCTGAACTTTCGAAATTGAATTGGACTCTGGCTGTTTTGCTGCATGTTTGACGGATGAGGGGAACCATTTTGGAAAGTTGGAGGACGCCTATTTTTGGCAGTTCCGTGTCTCCCACGTTCAATTATTTTATATGATTGATCCAAAATCCACATCCATATTTCATTTTTTATAAAATAGTTAAAAGATGGATCATTATTCCACAATTAGGTTGTTAGTAATTAAGTACACGAAAAGTGTGCGTCATTTTAAAAGATGTAAAATTGTGTTATTTTAAGAAAGAGAAAGAGATAGATAAAGGAGGAGAGAGAGTTGACAAAAAAATAAAAATAAAGGTATGAGTTCCACCTCTTTGTGAGAGTGAAAAGATATAAATTGTGTAATTTAAAAGGATAAACATTTTTCTCATTAAGTATATCTTTTACATATTTTCTTTCGTAGATTAAATCCTTTTATATTAAAAAAGGGACAATATTACTTAAAAACGTTTAAGTTTAAAGATGTCTTTTATAAAATTGGTTAATGTTTCTCATATTATAGAAGATAATTTTATCTCCTACATATATATAAAAGGGTATTGGACCCATATTTTCTTTCTTTCTTTCTTTCTTCTCTTCACATGATCTCACATGAATCTCACACACTTTTATGTATGTGTAGTCAATGTAAGAAATAATTTTATTTCCTACAGCATGAGAAACATTAATCCCTTAATAAAAATAACCTAATTGTATCGTTCTGTGTTTAAAGGAATTAGTTTATACGTTAAAAAAAATAATATAAAGATACACTAAAAAGTTAAAAGAAAATTCAAGTAACTTTAATCCTAAATTATTCTATTGATTTATCTTTAGGCATAAAAGCATAATTTATTTAATGAGTTTATACTTGTTAAACAATTAATATAGTTGTGTAATTTGTCGTAGTTGTGACACTTGATGTATGCAATGATCATGTAAAATTTATTATCTTTTTAATTAAATTACCGAACCACATAATTTAATAATGTCTCGATTAATAAGAGTTTTAGTAATGTATTATCTTTGTCCAATGTGTTTATATATTTGTGGTTGTGTGTGTGTGATTCAATCATAATGAATCAAACAGTCCTAAAAGGACTTATTAATTGTCAATCATATATTTTCTAGTGTATGGGAGGGGGAGAAGTGACCAAGTGGATAATTAAATTTGAGTTGTTGAATATTGTTCCAACTTGTGACCGTACTACTAGTTAATCTCATGATTGAATCTTATTTATATCGAGTTTGATTTTTTTGTTTCGAACTCAAAAATCATAGTTTAGCTTCTAAACAAAAACCAAACATGTTATTAGACTATTTCGCTTGCATTTTCACTTTAGGATTAAACTTTTTGGTTTCACACAATAAGCTTTTGGGAAGTTAATAGTTGAGTGCTTATAATAAGGTAAAGAAGGGAATTCGAAAGAAGAAAAGCAGTAACGTAACCTTACATGGTTATATACCATACGACTGAAACTCTTGACGATGGAGAGAGACTGTCAGCAGTTGGTGACTCTTGAAGTTTTAACTACCAAAGTATTAATTTTAAAGGGTGAGCCGTTGGTATACAGAACAAAGGTGGAAAGTCCTTGTTGGGGTGGATTATTTCCTTTTCATTCTTTTCGTCTTGTTTGGGGCTAAAGCATATAAAATATTGTTTAATCATATCTTCGAGCCCAACCATCTAAATTGGACAATCTCTTTCCAGTTATGTTGATGGACACACCTAGTAGCCAGGCCCAATAATATTTGATGAAACTACATTGTCATATCACTGGATCTATGAAAAATTGAGAGACAGGAATGGGGTCCAATCCAAGCACAAAAACGGGGGTTAGGCGTATGCTGGAACGGCGTTATTTTCCTGTGCTGAGTTATACTACAATAATTAATTGAGCATTTATAAAAAAATGTAACAAAACATATTTAAATCTGGACTGAAACTATAGCTCATCATCGAACATGATTTAGCTAATTTTATAATATAATTATAGTTTAGTTCGAATTTAATCCTTGAATTAAAACCAAACCGACCATGAAAAATATAATCTAGTGAGTTCAAATATGTTTTTATCCTTTTTTGTTCTCATAAATAAATTGACTCTGAAACTTTCTATTATTAGGTCATTATAGAACCTTCCAAATATTTCAGAGCTCCATTATCTACCATTTAGTTCCGTATTCTGGTGTGGTCCAACGGTTTTTAACTGTCCAATATTCCTCCAATTCAGGTTTGGCACTCAAACATTACAAATCCAATTGGGCCTTTTTCTCGATTCTGGCCTTAGATTCCCCATTCAAACTAAAGCCAACGAAATTTTATTAATTGTTTTGGTATATAAGGCCAATGGAATTTACATCACGTGAGTGAGGGAATTACCAAATTGGGTTAGACAACTGACAACCTTTGCAATATCAGCCTCAGTATTTGTGGATAGGGAGTAAACATCCATGTAGAAAGCAATCCACGTACAGTAAGAAGAGCTGCATATGCCGAAAGGGGAAAAAAAAATCCCCTGATAAAAAATATTCTCCTCCATCTGTGTTACCTATATATAAAAATTTCGTTCTTTTTCTTTTTTTCATGGAGTTCACTAAACAAGCACTTCACCCTACCAAATCCAGAAACTCAACCTGCAAAGCAATCCATGAGTAATTTGAAAAAAAATTATTAAAATGAATCCACAAAGACATTAACATGTGGTCAAATCAGTCATAAATTAAATTAGGTGAAATTTCAAATTAGCATGAAAAGATCACATTATATGTTCTACAAAATAAAAAAAAGTAAGAATAATAAATTAAATATAATACTTAACAAATATTTCGTTTAGTAAAGGAAAAAGAAAAGATAAACATTCTGTTGATTAGTACTTTCAAGTTTCACATTGAACATTAATTTAACCAATCAAGGATATAACACTTACACATACACATAGAGATGAAAAAACTTTAAAGAGGGGACGAACAACTCACTTTGTCACATCTATATATGTGTGTAGAAGTTAGGAAAGAACAAGTCATTCTCATTCTTTGCTTATATACTAACAAAATATTTTCTGGTGAGTTAAAAAAAAACTAAACCAAAACCAAAAAATTGATTTTATGGGTTGAACGGTCCAAATACAAAGAATTCATAAGTTTTTCTTTCTAATGGAATCCAATTTTGTAATCTATGATTGGAAGTTCTCAAATGGCATCTTTCCTCACAAACGGGATTTCACTGAGAAGGCTCTATTTGGTTTGGCAAATGATATGCATACACGTGGCACTGAGAGATTATCAGTGGTGACTGCAGCCAATTCTGAAAATATCTCTTCATTTAACGCTGTTTATTAGTATATTCACATATTGGAAGGTGGGGTTGCTGAGGGCAGGTGGTAGTGATATGTGCGTAGTTGTTCATAGCTTTATATTAAATGAGTGAAAAAGAAGAAGAGAGAAAGCAACTTGGGGGCTTTGCCATTATCACTTCCCTGTCCTTATTCCTTCTATATTTCTCTCTCTAATAAACCAAAGTTCTGATCTTGATCCTCTTACCTCTGAAAACTCCATATCTCAGATCAAGCTTGCAGCTATGGACAGTAATGCCTCCCCCAAACTTGAGTCAGAAACATCTTCAGAGCTCAAAGCAGAAACTCAAGCATCCAAGAAAAGGTGGGTTAATGCTTGGAAGAAAAGGAAAGTAGACAAAATATACAGTTTCAACTTAAAACATATAGTTCTAATATTTGATTTGGCTGTTATTCTAGTTTTGGTAAACTGCTGTTAACAAGCTTTTTAATATATATGCTGTGCATGTCACACAGGAAAATGGTTGAGAAAACAGTTGTTGCAGTGAGGATAGGAGAGAATGTTAGCAAGTTGAAGAATGAAGGGCTACCTTCTGATTTTTGGTCATGGAGGAAATATGGACAAAAGCCAATCAAAGGGTCTCCATATCCAAGGTGTACATTCTTTCTACTAAATGACTAGAACAAAAAAGGATCAATTTAGAGTGTCTTAGTTCTTGTTACTATTGATAGCATTATAGACAGATAGAATCAATTGGGTATTTTTACCCAACTTGATTCACAAGCCCTGAGACCAGAGAGTTGTCTCTCACAAAACTATTTTGAACACCCAATTTCTGAATCAGCTTATTTTCATTCAAGAGGCTATTACTGAATTTTTTAAACCAGGGTTTCTTTGCAAACTGCAAGATCTCAAAGCTTGCTCTTGCTACAATTATGCAGGGGCTATTACAAGTGCAGTACATCAAAGGGTTGTTCAGCTAAAAAGCAAGTAGAGAGATGCAGAACAGATGCTTCAATGCTCATCATTACCTATACCTCTAACCATAACCATCCAGGTCCTGCAGCACTCCCCACCTCAAATTCACCCCAACAACTAAAAGAATCAGAAACTGAAACCACCGAAGAATTCCCAGTTACCTCGAAAGAGGAAGACCAAGAACAGATAGAAGAACAAATGAATGATAAGTCCACTATGACCAGTGATCAAGTTACAAAAGAAGAAAACTTTCGTTACTTGCAATCTCCAATACGCTGCTCCGAAGAGATCATTATAGATCAAGAAGATCCTTTCAAACTAAACACGGAGAAAAGCCATGACAGAATAGATCTTCTCTTAGAGGAACAGCCCTTTTGTTATGCACAGCTCAAGAACTTCTCAGCATCTAAATCAGAAGAACTTGACTTTTTCGATGAGCTTGAGGAGCTACCCATGTCTTCATCTTTCTTACACTTTACTAGGAGCATTTTTTCCGATGAAAGGATTCCTGTTGCCCCTTCTTGATTCAAGTGTTTTTTGGTGCTTGCCACCCGGAAGAATCTAACTATTGTATTGTTCATATATGTATAGTTTTTCGATTCCGAATCCTTCTTTTCTGTACTTTATTTATATTCGAAACTGTTCCTGAAGAGTGGTTCACAAACATATAATTAATCACTTTGGGGTTGATTTCCCAAATTAATATAAAAAAAAAACTATTTATCAAAAAAATATTTTTAAAAATTTGTTTGCCTACATGTACTGCTGCAACATCCCATCTGTGATATATAGCGTTTAGGGTGTTAACGGGTCGAGTCTAGTTGGGTTTTGGTCTTAAAGGTTAAGTCTATTTTTAAATGTGTTAGTCTGACCTAGCTTGTTACATGTTATGAATATAATTATCGGCATGTGATCTGACTTATTTATAGAAAATAAAAGTCTGCCTTAGTCTTTAACTGTTATACAAAAAATAAGACAACAAAATTTTATTCAAACAAAATATATGATCCACAACACTAATAATTTCACAAAGATTTATAAATTTAATGTATATCCAAAAAATATAATATAAAAAAAAATCATTCAAAAAGTCTGTTTAACTAATAAAATAGGATAAAATGAGTTGAGGAGAAAGAGAAGGCTATTATAAATAATATAAAAAATATAAAATAAAAATAAAAATTAATATATCAAGCCAGCCTAAGAGGCTCTAAGTCCAGGCTTTTAAATGGGTGTCCGAGGCCTTTTTATTAAATGAGTTTTTGTACAAGTTCAAGCCTGGTTTCAACAATCAATTTTAGACATGTAAATCTGGACCTTCACAAGCTGAAACAAAGGCTCCTGATTCATTTAGCACCCCTAGTAGCGTCCTATCAGTATTCGTGATATATCTATACGTACAAAATTATCCTAAACAAGAATATTATTTTTTGGAAAAAATAATTTTTTAAAACATTAATTTGAAAAAACAAACCCCTCTCTTTGACATGTGCAGAGATAGTGGAGAGACAAAATCCCATTCTCTTTGGGATCACTATAGGATGTACAATCTGGTGCAGATCATTTACGAACTACAGCTACTGCAATTAAAGATCAATGGCTCGTAATTAATATATATATATATATATATATATATATATATATATATATATATATATATATATAGACCATAAAATTTTATTAAATTTAATATATATATATATATATTAAATTTTATTATGTCAAAAAGTAATCTAGACCATAAAAATCCTTCCTAATTTATTTTAAAATCTAGAGCATCGTGATCCTCGCACGTGGAGTTGGAGTAAGAATTTGGAAGCCAAACTGAGTGAGAACTGAGGAGTGGGGTGGGGTGTATTGTCGTTTAATTGAACAAATTTTATTAAAAGATAGCCCGAGGTTTGCACCCTGCTGAATGAGGTCTTCTTTTTCTTGGGTGCCTCATTTGATGGAAGAGAAAGTATTACTTTCTTCTTGGCAGTTATGACATGCTTTATTTATTTATTTTGCTATAATGAGTCTTGAGTGCCACACCATCATTCATATATTGATATATAAATATGGACCAGGCTTCCAAAAAGTCTGATACTTTATATGTTATGATTGTACATCCAACGAAGCGTGAAATTGAAGGAAATTAATTAAATAATATGAATTGAAATAAAATAAATTAATAATTACTTAGATATTTCATGTCTGTTCCGGTAGCTGCGTAGGTGCGTGCTTTCATAGTGAAAAATCTAACGACGAAATTCTTTCGATAATCTATCTCGCATGAGTGGACACATAACTGAAATCAACGATATATATTTACTTTGATGATAAAACAATATATTTTAGGTTAATTTATTTTTAACAGTGATTTGACTGTCGAAAAAGAGAAGGATTCAAGGATCATTAGCCAGGAAGTATGGATACAAATACCGGTATGGATACACACCAGGGCATCAATACGTAAATAAAACAAATTCCATAAATCATAGGACACAATATAACTAAGATACAACACATAGAATTAATATAATATTAATCTTAAAACACAAATATTAAACTATAATAATGACATTAATGTTTTAAGTTAACTTTGAACATTGTAGACATGATAAAATTATCATTTATCTCAATATTATAATATTAATATCCCACTTGTATTGGTACAAAAAATTTAAAAAATTAAAAGTTATATGATAAAAGCATTTAAAAGAATTAGAAAAGTATATATGTGAGGTATAAGTGACAATCATTTCAAAGTATATGTTACATGCTTTTGAAGTGCATGGTTACACGGATGTCAACATGAGTAATAAAATAGAGTTGGACTCAGTAACCCAAAAGATCGTTTTTATTTAACACTATACTTTTATGGGTTTTTTTTTTGGTAAGCTTACTTTTATGGTTTTTACATGGCAATGAAGCAATAATAGTTTCAGGTTCAAATGCTAGCCCGGTCTTTACCCTCTGTTGCAGCAGATAATGGCTGGAGAGCTTTGAGAGGATTCATAATGACACCGTCTATGAGTCCATATTCTTTGGCTTCTTTTGCACTCATGAAAAAATCACGGTCAGTATCCTTGTTGATCTTTTCTAAACTTTGGCCAGTGTGATATGAGAGATATATACCCATTCAAGTTTGCCTTATGATGTAGCATTTCATTTGCCTGAGGATCATTTAAAAAGCAATAAAACTAGCCAATCCATCAGGTCTTCCTTCGGTAGTGTAGTCATGTGTGGTATCACTACTTGTAAGATGTTCAAAACAAATTGGAACCCAATCCAACCAAAATCCTACTAACTACAACCAAACAATATAATGATAGGGAATGGAAAAGAAAAGTTAAATTTAAGGTTTTTTAGGACTTCTTTGACTATTTTGTATTCCCATATACCAAAAAATTGAACTTATACAAGATTATTTTTACTTCATTTAATCACTGAAAAATTGGATTGCTTAGATGTGGCTTTTCATAGCTGATTTGGTTGATGAAAATGCAAAAACTGCATCAAACTATCCTCTTGAACAACCTCAAGTATTTTAGAGTTTTAAGGGACTTTCTCAAAATAAGAGATACTCAAGAGCAAGATTGTAACCAGCAACTTAACCCATGACTCTCGTACTAGAACCACAAACAAACCTTAAGAGTTGTGATTTATATCAAGGTTAAGCTGTCATATATATGGCGCATAACTCCGGCACAGAAATAAGTCATTTCTGGCCAGCAAATATCAGATATTAACTTAAATTCCGAACAAGGATTCTCTCTGTACACCGGGGACCAATTCGGTCTATTGGTTACGTAAAAAAAAAATGTACTTCTGTCTATGGAATTTCATCGAGTTCAATAAAGACAAATTTGGGTCTTTCAAAATGCCAGCACACTTATTCAACTTTGACTATCAAGATAGGTTTTAATTTTCAAAAATAAATCCTAAACTATCAGAAGCAAACAAGAGGTTTATGCAATAGATTATGAAATAAAAAGGTCGAAAATGGGGCCTATACCTGAATATCTATGTCAGTTTGCCCTTCGTGAGCTCCACCAAGCGGTTGGTGAACCATTATCCTTGAATTTGGCAAGCTGTATCTTTTTCCTTCAGAAACAAACGAGGAAAGAATACAAAGTTAGAAGAAGCATTTGTCATGTGTGGAGAAAAAAGGGAAATGAGAGACAACATAAAATAAAAAAAGGAACATATACATTATTATTACCAGCTGTAAATGATCCTCCTGGAGAATTTACATACACGACAATATCCTGATCAACATATCACAAAAATAGTAGTTGATTAAGTGCTTGCACTACAAAATTGAGCTTAAGACATACTTGAAAACATGAAAGACAAACTCAGGGTAATAATCACAATAAAAAATGAGGAAAAACAAAAATATAAAGGAATGTAAAGGATTAATTTACATGGGCTACGACATAAGATAAACCATGAGTTTTTTAGTAACTGAAAATGACGAGCAAACCTTGCTAGGATCAACAACATCGAGGTAAAGAAGTTGAGCTACTACGAAGTTAGCCATATCATCATCAACTGCTCCACCACAACGTATTATTCTCTAAATACTGAAACATTTTATTAACCTAGTCTCCTTTAGGAGCAATTACAAAAAAAAAATGTAGAAAATTTATGGGAAAAGTGTGTATAATTTTAAAGGATGTAAAGTTGTGTCATTTTAAGAGAGAGAAAGAGATAAATTAAGGAGGAGAGAGAGTTGACAAAAAAAATAAAGGTGTGGATCTCACCTCTTTGTGAAAGTAAAAGGATGTAAGTTGTGTAATTTTAAATGATAGACACTTTTCCCAAAATTTATTGGTATTGTGTTCCAAACAATTCAAGGTATTATTATCAAAGGGAGTGAGTGCGCGTAAATTTTTAATAAACCCTAAACCTGAATCCCCATAAAAATAAAATAAAATAAAATGTAAGAGTAAAATGAAGAGCCTCAAAATTGCATTGAAGATAATTGAACAAAACAAACAGCTCACCAGGGGAAGCGTGAAGGGTGTGAAGCGAAAGAAAGGTTGTGAGAGTGAGAGTGACAAGAAGTTGTAGGGGTAGCGGAGGAATCAGGAAAGAACAACAGAGGTGAATCGAAGAGAGGATGTGTGCACTACGTAGCACCGATATCGACACGGGGACACGTGACATGATACCACACGATATTCTGATATGTTAATTTTAAAATATGTTAGATTTTGACATGTTAGGATATATTAAATAATATTTTTAATTTATATAGTGTATATTATATTTAAGGAAAAAATATTTTTCATTTTAAATAACATAAAGTTATGTCATTTTAAGAGAGAGACAGACACAGAAAAAAAAAATTATTTAAATTTTAAATTAAAAAAAAACCACACACTTTCTCTCTCCCATGATTTCTATTTTTCTGTGTCTATCTCTCTCATAAAATGACATAACTTGTGTCATTTAAAATGACAAACACCAAACCCTATATTTAATATTCAATAATTAACAAAAAAATGAAACTAAACTTATAATATTCATCAATTTTACAAAGAAACATAAGATATTCTAAATATTTATATTAAACTCAATAAA